TTTATTTAGAGACAAGATCTCTCTGAGTTGCTTAGGGCCTCATTAAGCTTCCTTAGCTGCTGGGATTATAGGCATATGCCACCTCACCCAGCTATTATCGTTACTCTTAAATTACCATTTATACAGCATTTATTATCTTCCAGATACCCCCCTCTTTTTTTTGCCATACCAAGGTTCACCGAAGATCTCACACATGCTAGTCACACGAGTCACATTCCCACAAAACTACCACTGAGTCACATCCCCAGCCCCAGATGCTATCTTCATGTGTGTTACCTCATTCAACTCTCATGCCTACCTCCCAAATCAGAAAATAGTAATTGTTATAATAGTAATAGTATACTGATTTTAAAGGTTAAAGAACTGAGGCAGAAAGGAGTGAGCTTCCTCTAGATCCCACCATTTAACACTGGGAATTGAATTCCCACTTCTAAGGCTAAACTCTTAACAGCAATTTCTCTATTTATTTATCTTAAATTTACGTCATTTGAGCTATTCACTACTGATTTTGTTATTGCGAGATTGCAAGAAATCACTGAGTCGATCTTAAAGCAGGAGATGAAACTTTATTCTCCAGCGAGGGGTCTGGATCCACCAGCTGGTGGCCAAGGGGAAGGCGGCAAGCCTTACCCTTAAGCCCTCTTTAGGGGTTCGAGTACACACCTTTTATACCATAAATAAAGCATGTCAGTGCGTTAATTAGAAGTGGCTATGATTCAAGACCATAAACAAACATCATGAGATCTCAAATCATAAGCAGAGAGGAAGTGGGTCAAAACGACCCTAGCTGAGTACAAGGTAAAGAATGGGAACATTGCCCAAGAAAAATGGGAACCAAAAAGAGAACAATTTTCCATTGTATAAGAATTGCCATTTTGTGTTGCCAAACATGCTATGCCAAGCAACTGTTGATGGGTACAGAGGCGGGGTGTTGCCAAGGGAGAAGCATTTCTTACATGATATGGAGTCTCAGGGTAAAATGAAGTCTGTTTGGTCATTGCCCATATAGCCTGGCCCATAACAATTTAAGCTGTTTCCTGTGAATATGATGTTTTGTGCTCCCCATGGGCTCTTTAGAGTGGTATGGAAGAATCATTTTCTATACGGGAGATCAAGCCAGGTACAGCAATGTCACTCATTCATGGAGAGGCAAGATCCCTGGCTCCACAGCAGAAGTTACAGACTCGACACCCAGAGAGTGTCCATATGCAGCCACCCCTGCTAATACCGTCAGACGCTGGCATTCTCCCTGTGAATCTTTCCTCTCCAAAGACCAAAAGACTAGCCAGAAAATAAGCTAACAAAGGCATTCACACTGAAATCATAGTCAAAATAGTATTTACAAAAGGGTCGCTTTAAGGGGTACTAGGTGGGACTCCTAAAGTGCAAGAAATAAAATCAAGAATTAATAAATGGGATGGATTCAAACTAAAAAAGCTTCTTCTCAGTCACAGAAACAATCAATAATGTGAAGAGAGATCCCACAGAGTGGGAGAACATCTTTACTATATACACATCAGATAGAGCATGAATTTCCAGGATATATTAAGAACTCAAAAAACAACACCAAAAAAATAAATAACCCAATCAATAAACGGGCTAAGGAACTGAACAAACACTTCTCAGAAGATATAAAATTGATCAACAAATATATAAAAAAAGTTCAACATATCTAGTAATTAGAGAAATGAAAATCAAAATTACTCTAAAATTTCATCTCACTCCATTCAGAATGGCAGTTATCAAGAATAAAAGCAATAATAAGTGTTGGTGACAATGTGGGGAAAAAAGTACACCCATACATTGCTGGTGGCACTGGAAATTGGTGCAATGGAAAGCAGTATGGAGATTCCTTGGAAAACCTGGAATGGAACTACCATTTGACCCAGCTATTCCACTCTTTAGTCTATACCCAAAGGACATAAAATCAGCATACTATAGTATGCAACATCATCAATGTTCATAGAAACTCAATTCACAATAGCTAAACTGTGGAACTAACCTAGATGCCCTTAAACAGATGAGTGGATAAAGAAACTGTGATTGATATATATATATATATATATATATATATATATATATATA